ATGAGGACTGAGAAGCTTGAAGAAAAACTCCCAAGCCCACTGATTTCCTAACAATGCCCTATAAACTACCCGACCCTCAGAACACAGCAAACCTGCCCATGGCTGAAGAGGCTTTTCCCTACAACAAACTCTTCCGCTCCGGTGAAAAACCCTCTATCCTCCTGGCAGGATCTGCCACCCCCTTCACCGATGCCACCTTCCCTAAGATATATGTACCCTGGAACCACCTCACTGCAGGTTTCCCAGAAGACCTCTGAAGCGACATCATGGCCTCCCTGAACTCCTTCATCGCAGCAATCTGTTACGGTTTATTTATTTTTCTTCATTTTACTCAGCTCGATTACTCATATGCGATCACCATGGACAGTTTCTCATGTACTATTATTAGTGTATCCAAAGTGTATTTAAGTAGAGCCTCAGCTGGTCTAAACCCCAGCTTCGGCTAAGGTCTAATCTACCTAACTCATAGCTCCGCGTTTTGAGACTATCTAAGTCCTCGATCGACTTCATACCTCTCCTTTGACCTCTAAGAGCATCGCCCACCGAAGTGCAAGTGGCGATCCTTAGTTGATCTAAGTCGAGTATAGTTGGTTGTTGACATTTAGCCGAAGTTCGTCATATGTTGCCTAGCACCACGTCAGAGAACGAACGCTACCCAACAATTTTTCAGAAACTTTATTCCCCAGCTAGACCGAAAGGTCGCTAGACTGCACCTGGACGATTGTCGGTGCCCATTGATCTTTTGGATTCAAGCAAACAATCCATGCCCAACCAGAGAGGTCATCGCCCTATGTTTGTGAGGACAGTTTCATGACTGTCAGTGTACAACGAGAGGACCGATGGAAAAGCGCACTCAATCTGTTACTCATTTCCATCCTCACCCTACTAGTTCTAGTAGCGACAACCATCGTTATTCGACGAAGCTTATGCCGACTACTGAACTCATCGCCACCATATCGACCGCCTTTACCCTCTTTACCCTCGCAGTTATCTGTTTGGGTATCCGACAATCCTTCAGGTACTGCTTTCGTCGCAGAGAAGCAAGAGCACGGCTCCCCTTTCATTATATTCCCCCTTACCCGCTGCAAACAATCATAATCCCTCCAGCATCGCAACCCACCTTGCATGATGGAAGACCCATCACACCTCCCGGAGGAGGAACGAGCTCAGAGTCAGGATCAGGATCTGACTCCAGCTACCGAACCTCGGTTGACATCACAGATACCTGGGGCGTACTCGACGACGGAGGGGACTCACCCATACACAGCCTCCTCCATGTCTCTACAATCAGAAGAGACGAGTCAGGAAGCGAAGAAGAGGGGTCTGTGGAATCAAGCGAGGGAGGTTATCTCAACCTTTGGGACGAAGAAGGAAGGAGGCTCCAAAGCTTCCTCGAGAACGACGGCGGCCCGGAAGAAGAACCTGACCGTGATCCCAGAGACGAGTGGGCCAGAAGGGAAGTCGAAGGAGGAATCCCCAGCGACGACCTTGAACAAGATGATGGAGAGCTTGGTCTTGGGGCCTCCGCCGCAACTACCACCCGTCCAATTGAGCCCAGGACCTCTGGATCAAGAGTGGTGGCGAATAGCTGGCCAACGGACAGAGGGATCCCAATCACCTGGCACCCAGCCACCTCCTGGGTCTTCGCAAGGGAAGAAGCTCCTGTGGCCAGAGTACCAACCCTGGGGCCCTCGACAGAGCCCACCCAAGAGGAACCTGCCCGAACCTCCCTCTCCGATGAAGAGAATCAGCAGATCTGAGACGAGATCGAGGAACATAACCCCGATCGAGCTGAGCCAGATACTCGCTCCGACCAACTCCCCATCATCACCGCTTTCACCCCGGGCGTCCCGCCAAGAGCGTTCCAACTCCCCGTCCCCCAGTACCAGCGACCATGGCCACTTCTCTACCACACGCTCGTCGAGTCCCTCCAGCTCACAAGAACTGCCTGGCTCGCCCCAGACGTACAGGCCCGAATGGACAGAGCAAGAGAGAACGACGCACAAATCTGAAGTGCCGAAATCGCCAATCTCCAGGGGCTATACCCCAGTGGAAACTGGGACCTCCCCCTTGAACCAGACGCCACCAGCGATGAAATCGCCTGAAGAATCGGGACCATCACCCTCCGATACACCGGAGCTGTATGACGAGCTGGAGCGGACCTTGAGGAGCAACGACAAGCCTGGTATAACTACCAGAGCGAGCTCTACGACAAGGAGTCCGACCTCTACCGTGCCGGCTACCGGCCGACAAATACGCCCCCTGAGTCATGCAATCAGGGCGACCATCCTCGTGGAGGTCTGTCGGGTAGTCACTAGAGAAGTGACAGTATGCCAATTCCACCCATGGCTTTTACTAGTTAATTGCTGTCACTCTGTTCACAGCTTGCCGGTATTTTCAGTTATACCAGATTCCATTCCTTCTCATCTATCGAGACCCTTTCTGGCTTACAGCCAACATTTTCTAGTACTCGATTGTTAAGGGTACTACTCTGCTGACTGAAAAGTCGCAGTGTATACTTGCATTCTTGAGGAATTCATCGCATGGAGGTGCACCAAAACACTCGCACAACAACAAAGCCTTTATTGCCGCTACATGCCATTTGCCATGAACTCCTCTAGAGTTTTGGTTTTTGCTGTTGCCATGGAAGTTTAGGCTCATCACTGTCTGAGCAGGAGGCTCCAGCAATTCACAGTCAAGGAATGATAGTCATCCAAACACTTTTATGGCAAACTTGGAGTTAAAGAACCTTGGCTGATCTTTAGAGAAGTGAATGGTTGTCCAATTCTTCCCGAACAGTAGGAACATGTTACATTCTGTCAATGTGCCTACAGATATTAGGTTCATAGGAACACTAGGCATGTGCAGACATTCCAGTAACTGAACAGTCATTGGAGAGCCATCTGTGCAGTGCACCCTCATCTGGATTTCACCACAAGCTTCAGTGCTGAGGACACCGCAGTTCACAGTCTTCACATCCACAGCTTGATCTTCCCAATAGATCCAGAAATATTTCCGATCCTTGAAAATATGTGCCATACAACTAGAATCCAGTAATGTCTTTATGGACTCTGCCATCAGAATGAATGCTGTTTCATGCATGACGTCCAAATACTATGTCAATGCCATATCCAAGGGACTCAGAAAAGTCACACTCACACATAGGAAAAGGTCCTTAGTATTATAGGTATCAACGTTACAGGCAGTTTCTAGTACTTCACTAATGGCTGCATACACTACAAATACTGACAAAACTGGGAGCCAGTCTCCCAAGAAGCTATCCCCATCGAAACCTCCATCCTGGAGGATAGATGTGAGGACACACCACCCCCATCCTACAGCAGATCCAGTGAGGACTTCCCCATCCGCTTCATCATCCTCTCCAACAACTCTGACATGGGAGGATGGACCACATCAGAAAGCTCAGTCACTGTAGTCAAGGAAGAGCCAAGACCAGGCAAGCATGAAAGGAAATGGGCGAGCGTGTTTTCACTCCCATTACTAAAGAGGAAGAAGGGCAAGGGCAAGGAAGTAGCCCCTCCCCCACCTCAACAGAGAACTCAGCTACCCTCCCTGGATATGATTCCGATGGCAACCGCCTCTATCAAAGAGGACTTAGATATCATCTGGGAGAGGGAAGAGAGGCTGAAGATGGAGCTGGAAGCAGTAGCGATGAGGAAGGAGGAGCTTCAGAGGAGGAGCACCCTGGCAAAGGCTGGTACGTGGGCCTACCCCGAGGGTTACCCAGACCCCTCAGTAACTGGTCCCCTCCCCAACTCGACTCCAGGGGAGGAACATGGCACTGGCACTATTAAGCCAGGGACCGAACCCCAACCCTCTCCGAGCTCAGGTCATACTTTGTGCCCAGCAGAAGAACTGACACTCCCATCCTCGTCAACAACAGAGCAGAGGCAGTTACCACCAAGCTCGATGAGTGCAGACCCACCTACAATGCCGATGCCAGCTGTGATGTATGCCACCAAATACAAGACTTCACAGATGCCCAGCTCATGGCAGAAGGGATTGAACCCCCCTCCTCCATCATCCCCTACGTCATCTATCCACTCACAGCAGAGCACCTGCTCACAGCCCCAGTCCCATTCGTGGCCCCATGGGTCTGGGATCGACCCCGAAGACCGGACTTCAAAAGGGTCATCAAAAGGGTCCAGGAGTGGGCCAGAATCATCTGAAACTGGAATCAGATCGTCACCGGAAGCATGGAGCCTTTTGAATGAGTCCGACCCATCAGACTTTGAAGAAGAAGAAACCTTCAGGAAGCCTGGCAATGTGCTGCCTTCAATCTGGAGTGGCAACACTGGGCAGGAGAGTATGGCAAGGATGATGTACTCCCAGAATTTGTGGAAGGATCTAGCTTGGGAGCCTACTGAAGCCGAGCTAGAGATCATAACATACCTAGAGATGTTATGATGGATGGAGGCAAAAATACAAAAGGAGATATCCTGGAATGGGTCAGAACAGGGAAGGTACTTCCACAAAATAGAGCGAACCCTGATTGGGGCACAAGTACTATATTGGGAGGCAATCTTCCACACCAACATCCTGTGGAACCAGGTACATCTGGATGACTACATGGACCCCAGAAACTGATACAAAGTACTGCCACCATCGGAAACTTCTGAGGGAAGTACAGTGGATCTAAGCCACCTCACCATTCTTCAAAGAACCAGATATGTCAACCCTAGTCACCTATTCAGTGGAGCAGGAACACCAGGAAGCGGAATGGCCACAGTACCCACAGTACCTGCAGTGCCAACAGGACTCTTGGATCCCCATCATGACCTGGCCCTGAGGTCCTTACCAAGAGTGGGCGCTATACCAATACCACTGGATCTAGTGCAGCCCCCCACCATGCCGCCACCCTATATTGTAGGCACAGCATCCACCAATCCCTGGGGAGACATAAAGCCAAAACTAATAAAGGAGCCAGAGAACTTCAAAGGGAAGGCCACTGATGTACACTGACCGACAAAAATAAAGAAACACATGGTTTTTTTGATCGGAGTCGCAATAGCTCCTCAACACTGTGATATTTTTTTGGACTTCCAGTGAGTGTAATGTAGCTTGATATCTGTAGTTTAATATTATGAAAAGAATGAGGCAAAAATACCAGTCAGTGAGCAAAGTAAGAGGGCTGCGAAACCACATGCCAATTTTGATGATGTAATAGCATCACATCAACGTCGGAACCAACTTGAATCTGAACCACCACCTAGGCCGATTGCACTGAAATTCCTATCATGTATTCACCTCCTCCTCGCAAACCAAATGTGCCTATTACCCCTACAAAAGCAGCCCGTATTTGCACTCTCCTCAATGAAGGCCACACCTGCACTGAAATCAGCAATGTCATTGGATGTTCACGCTCTACCGTCTGCAAAACTGGCCACAAATATGAAGGGAAGGAGAACTACTATGCTCGCATCGAAGGGCGAGGCCACCCGTGCAAGATGGACAATGCAGATATTAAATTTGCTGTGCAAAAAATCTGTAGTCACGACTGCCGGACAGCGGTCGATGTTCAACGGGGGTATTTCGACCATCTTTCGGAGCACACTGTGCAGTGCAGGCTTTCAGATGAGGGCCTGAAGGGTTACAAGAGGTGGAAGGTACCAATGCTCATGAAGGCTCATGTTAGAAAGCAAAGGGTGTGGGCAGAGGCACATGCAGAATGGGGAGCAGAAAAATGGGGTACTGTGCTCTACTCAGATGAGTCCAAATTCAACTTCTTTGGGTCAGACGGAGTGCAGTGGTGTCATAGGGGTCCTGGTGAGGCACTAGATGTGCATAACGTGTTGCCCCGGTTGAAGCATGGAGGCGGGGGGGTGATGGTCTGAGGATGCATGACGAGTTTGGGCTTCGGACAGCTGATTTTGGTGGAAGGCACTATGAATGCTGTCCAGTACTGCCAGATACTTAATGAAGGACTTCTCGGCACCCTCCAGGACTACAAACTCTCAGTTGACAATGTCCTTTTTCAGCAGGATAATGACCCCAAGCACACAGCTTGGCTTATGAAAAAGTGGCTTGCCAACCAAAACATCTCTGTAATGGACTGGCCACCAAACAGCCCCGACCAAAGCATCATAGAGAATGCTTGGGCTACTCTCGAACATTGTCTGAACAACAGACCATGTCACCCGACAATGACTGCCGCATTATTTGCCATTCTGCAGGAGGAGTGGGCTGCACTTGGAAAAGAGTATTGCAATGTGTTATATGGTAGTATCCCATCACGGGTGAGGTCCTTGATATTGGCAAAGGGCAGGCATACTAGATATTAGGTTGTTGGACTTTTCGTCAGGTCAATTATCTTGTTTTCTCATTTTACTTACACTGCTAAAAATGACACTCTCAGCTAACATATTTATATCTCATCATTTTTTTCATGTATGTACCTCATTCTTTTTCTAACAATAAACTACATCAATTAAGCTACATTTCTCTCACTGAAAGTCTGAAAAAATATCGCAGCGTTGAGGAGCTATTGCGACTCCAATCAAAAAAACCATGTGTTTCTTTATTTTTGTCGGTCAGTGTAGATTGGTTCTTCAATCAGTGTGAAGACTACTTCGCTGTCTTCGCACAACAGTTCACAATGAATAAGGCCAGACAAAACTTGCATCAAATCCCATTCATGACGTCCCAATTTGAAGACAAGACCCTGGAGTGGTGGGAGTACAAACGAGATGCCTACTATGACACACAGTGCAGGCATCTCTGATACCCTACCTATGAAGAGTTCAAGCATCTGGTGGAGGAGCAATTCCACACTGATGACAAAGTAGAACTTAAATTACAGGAGTTCAAACGCCTCAAACAGTCAAATTACAAGTCAGCAAAGGACTTCTTCTGTGACTTCAAAAAGCTTGCCAAACAAGCTGGCAAACGTCACAATCAGGAATACATGGTGGAGATCCTTAAACCTGCCATCCAAAAGAATGTTAAAGAGGCCATGCATGTGGCAGACTCCGACCTACCCAAGACCTATGAAGAATGGAAGTACCATGTAATCTGTATGGATTACAACTACTGAGTAGGACAAGCAGAGGCAAAAGGGGCAAGACCATCGAAGCCACAGCAGGGGAACAGCCAGGGGAAGTCTGGGAACAGTGATAAGAAGATGGGCACTGGAATGATCTATGGGGGCCAGGGCCAGCCCATGGAAATAGACCGGCTTTGAAAACAAGGACGATGTTTCCATTGCAGTCATAAGGGACATTGGAAACAGGACAACAAGTGCCCAAAAGATGAAAGCACTTGGTTGGTCAAGCACCAGCTCAAGTTCTCCCGAGCCGAAATCTGCACCATGCATGCCAAAATGTTGAAGGAAGAAGAAGAGGAATCGAAGTCAAAGATCGAGGAGGTAAAAGATGAGCCAGCAGCTTAAGCGACAAAAGCTTGCCAGCTAAGGACTTAATTTCATCTGGTGATGTGTCAGCATCTTCCAAGGGTCAGACTAATAATATTTTTATAGTATCTATGCCCAATACCATGCATTTCACATGTTCCACAGACACTGAAATTAAGAAGTTGCAAAATGCCGACAGCGTAGCAGGGGATTTCCACTGCACAGAGCACAATGAACTCTTAGGATCTAGAGATCCAACAGACAGCTTGAGGCCTAACTGGTGCAGAGTGGCCCCTGATACCCATGGGATCTTGGGTCCAGGCAAGGCTAGGGACAAGGCTGAACAACAGATGGGATATAGCAGACCCAATGCCGAACTGTTTTAAAGCAGAAGGGAGCCCCTTGAGCTTGCTTCAACAAGGTGTACAGGGGATTACCACCACTCCTCTGAGCAACGAACCCCGATACTCAAGCTCCCTGGCTGAAGGAGCCAGCTGTGTCCAAGCCACTGCTAATACCCCTTTGGGATGCACGTATGACACAGTGGCACCAGAGAGCAGGATACATGGGATCAAGATCACTCTGTCGAGGGCAGATGATGGCATGGGGAACGTAGGAGGAGTGGCTGAGTCAGGAAAGAGTGGGGACCCCTCCCACTTAGTACACCTGAGAACGCAGAATGCAGCCAGGAACGGTGCAGAGCTCCACTCAGAGGCAACATGTATGTGCTGGCAACGAGTGACCAGCTGCCCTCATCGTGGAACAGAGCCACAAGAAGGAGTGCCAATCCCCAGCAATAAACCCGCTGACCTGCAAGCAACAGTCAAGAATAACAGGGGACCTATTATTATTATGGTGTGCCTACCTCCTTCTACACATAATGGCACCGAGGGCTTGTGTTCCTCGGTGGGAGGGTCGGTGGGACCATTATGTGTATCTACCAATGAAAATGTTGTTTCCTTGGAAGAAGTACCTGATGAAGAGGATGACTACAGTTACCAGCAAAGTCTTCAACAACCGACAATTGGGGAAGACCCTGTGGAGCATGCAGAGGAGTACCCAGAAGACTACAAAGTAACTGAACTCGAGAAAGAGTTCTATAATGATAAGTGGGACAAGGGCTGGCTGAAGCCCCATAGCATAGAATGGGTACGAAGGAAGATCTGTCAGGAGAAGACTATGGAAGGAAAGTTAGCAACCCTCTGAATGTGGGTACACCCTCAACGGCTAATCGAGGTAGACAAAGACCTAGTTGTGGACCTTCAAGGGTCCATCCACAAATCCTATCACCAATGGGAACAGTGCCTAGAAAACCTACACAATCTATGAATACCACCACAATACATACAAGGAGGAAGGGGGAGAAGTGTAAATATCCAGGTCCAACTTGAGACCCTGGATACAAGCGAAATAAGAGCAGTCAAGGCCCTGGTAGACAGTGGGTGCACAGGCAGTTGCATCAACAGAGTCTTTGTTCAAGAACACCAGCTAAACACCATGAAACTACCCAAGGCACAAGTGGTGTACAATGCAGACAGGAGCTGCAACAAGGGGGGGGACATTACAGAGATAGTGGAATTGCACATGACGATCGAGGATCATCACAAAAAGATCAATTTTGCCATTGTAGACCTAGGAAATATCCCTCTGTTCCTGGGTCATGATTAGCTTAAGCGACACAACCCCATCATTGATTGGAAGATGGGAGCCATTTCCCTAGTATGCTGCACGTGCTGGAAGGTACTCTTCCTGCTGCCAGACAAGGATCCCGAGCAGCGGTGGGGAACTGAAGTAGAAGAAGGGGATACCATCCTAATCGTGGACTTTCAAGAGGCCTTCCATGTCAGAGCCATGGGGAGCAAGGCAAACAAACTCGCAGCCAAAGCCAATGAAGCAAAGGAAAATAAAACCTTTGAAGAGATCATGCCACAAGAATACTGAGAGTATGAAGATGTATTTGCCAAAGAAAACTTCAACAAACTACCCCCAAGAAAACCATGAGACCATGCTATCGAACTCCTCCCTAATGCGAACACCAGCCTAGACTGCAAGGTCTATC